GTCTTGCATTCTGATGAGGACCGGTAACCAGCTCTTTTTTTTTTTTTTTTTTTTACTCTTCTTGGTCAGACTAACTCTTCTGTGCTTGGCAGCCTCTTTAAATTTGTCTTACTGTTGTGTGTTCTACTTGGCACTGCTGAAAAGCACTAGCTCGCTGGGGCTGCAGCTGTGCTTCTGCTGCGTGGTGTGATGAGCAAGACGTATTATCCTTATCCCCAGAGGATTGCATAGGCTCCTTTTTCCTTGCCTCTGGCTACAATTCAAGAGGGTGACTGCTAGCTATATCACTTCTGAGAGCTGTAACTAGAAGGATACTCTAATTTCCTATATAGCAGAATAAAAAGCAAATTTAAACAGATCTAGAGGCACAGAGGTAGAAGGCAGGCAACTTTTATAAGCACCTCTGTCCTTGGAGCTTTTTTCAATGACCTTGGAAGAGACCTGCCCTTATGCTGTCTCTCATGATGTTCTTAGGAATATTATTTTTGTTCTGCCCCAACAGTTCATTATCAATTGATTATTAAGCAAATATTTAGTCTAAAATTCATTATTGATTAATTACTAAACAGATATATAGTCTAAAATTTCAGGATGTTTTTCATATAATTTTAAAATAATATAGAAACTCTATGGTTAGCTGTCTTATTATGCAAGGTTTAGCCATTTTAGCTCTGTGACTGGCAGAGTAGGTATTTATTGCACAGCCGTATAATTTATTTCTTCTATCTGAATGCTGTAATAGAAAAGCATGGATGCTTTGTGGGATTTTTAAGTGAAAGACAGTGACTGAAAATGTATATGTGTAACTCTATTATGCTAGCTAAATTGAACACACAAACTAGTCAGTATCTCATTCAGATATTTTTATTTAGTCAACAACTTTGGGACCAGTAAGGGTAAAGGGCACTGTGGTTTGAGTTTGAGCTATAGCCTTTTGCTAGAATATATCATATTCTTGATTTGCATGGATGCCTAGCTTCTTTCAGTCAGTTTAAAGACTGACTGCAGTTAACAGAAAGGTATAGATGTTACTTGGTAGGGGATTATCTCAGTTGGCTTCTGAATTGCCTTCTGACAGTCTTTATATATTAATGTAGCCTGCAGTAACCCGGGCTATCGGTTCAGGCAATCCCAAATTTGACATGTAGAGACTGTCTCTTTCTAAATGTTATTTGTGCTTTGTTCTTAAATTGAACCAGATTCTGGTATCAGCTTGTGAGTCCATGAGTTAACACTTAATCTACCCTGAAGTAATAGTGAAATATTAAGATTTGGCAACACAGGATGGAGGAGACCCCAAAGCCAAGAGCAAAGCTTTTTGGTTCATGAGGGGAGCCCAGAACTTGTGTGTTGTGGTACTTATTAACTCTACAGCAACTAAGAGAATTAAAATCTCCCCAGATAGGATTCACATCAAGCAACTGGTTGATGGGAAGTTAGCAAAAATATCCAAGTGAAAACTCTTCACAGCAAGGTGCAATTTAAAACATGCTACACTTTTACAGGAGACAGGAAGCTGTATCAGATTGCAGTTTACAGCCAACGCCCTCTCCTGGGGGTTTTGAAAATGGACACTTGGCGTATACTTTATTTCAAAAACGTTGCATTGGCAGAACCCCACTGCTTGTACAAAACTACTGATTAAGTTTGAGCAGTGACTTTGGAAGAGAAGTCCTACACTCAAGCTCTTATTTGCTTGTCATATCTACTTTTGTACTTTATTCACGGAGCCTGTAATATAAAATACAAAGAGTCCTGGGATCAAACCCCCAAAATTGTTTTTTTGAAAGGAAGGCTCTAAATGATTCCTGTCCGCCAAGTGCAGATTTAGTTTCCTCTAGGTTACATGAGAAAGCACCTGCCTAAAGCAGTGCCCACACCATTGAGTTCTTCTTTAAAAAAATACCATTGTCCTGCTTTTCCCTCCCAGAAATGGTTTTTTTAGGTGCTGTGGCTACTTTGCTGTAGGTGCTTTTACAGCTTTCTTGACCAGTTGATATGTTGTCTGAGGCAAGGCTTTAGGAGTCACTTTTCGGTTTAGAAATATTCAGCATCTACCTGGGCCCCACTAGAGAATTCTGTTTAGCAGATTATTGCTGTGCTTGTATAGCTCAGAAATTGTAGTAGCACCACTTTGCCCACTCTATTGTTCTGCATCCAGAAGGAGCCAAGTAATTGTGTTCGCATAACCCATTTTTCTTGACTTGCTAAAGTACCTACCTAAAGTTTCTCATGCTATGCACTGTCCAAAAAACTACTGTATATATGAAAAAGATGAGAGGAGGGAAGGGCTGATTCAGAGATGGAATATGATGCCAATTCTAAGGAATCTTCTTCAAGTATCCCAGTGGATATTGTTTAGGCAAACATACATGTGCAGTTTATAGGCAGCATTAATGACAAATAGTTTTTGTTTATACCAAAAAGGGAGCAATGCTTCAGCAGTACTGCTTATTGGGATGTACAGGGAAGGAAAGCCTGATGGTGAACAAAGTGGGTGGAATTTAAAGTGAAGCCTGTAATAAGGAGATTTGTGCAGGTATTTCCTGATTATCATCTGTTGTTTCAGTAGTCCAGGAACATGACACAAATATCATCACAGAATCACAGAATGGTTTAAGGTTGGAAGGGACCTCTAGAGATTATCTAGTCATGCTGCTGTTTATCGTATTGCTTCTAGCATGCAGTCCTGCCTTTTGGGTTTATTTTGATTCTTGTTAAGCTCTTCAGTGGTTTGAAATCGCTAAAGGAGAATAGAGAGTAATACAAATAGGAGTCATCTCAAAGTTTTGGAAGAGTTAAAACCCTGTGATGACAGAGAGGGTAGAGCTCAGATATTTCCTATAATTACTTTTTGGTGATTCTAGAATGGACTATATTTGCATTTTGTGTTGCATTTTGTGCTATGCATACAAATTTACTTGTGCATATAGGTGGTAAAGATCTAGTTTGCAGAAGGATGGTCCTTACATACATCAAAGAATCTTTTTTGCATCGAGTAAAGCACTGTGATTTGTACTCTTGTTCAACTAAAGCAAGCAACCCATTTTGGGGTAAGTTAAAATATTACCCAGGTGCTTTTGATCTGTTGTAGAATGAAATAGATTAGTCCTTTCTAATTGAAGTTCCCGCACAGTATCGAGAGGGACTTCTGCTTCTCAGCCAAGCAGGGCCAGCACAGGAGGTGGAGAGCAGCCCCGCAGAGAGGGACCTGGGTGTCATGGTGGATGACAAGTTGACCATGAGACAGCAGTGTGCCCTGGTGGCCAAGAAGGCCAACAGGATCCTGGGGTGCATTAAGAAGAGCGTCTCCAGCAGGTCGAGCGAGGTGATCATCCCCCTCTACTCAGCCCTGGTGAGGCCACATCTGGAGTACTGTGTCCAGTTCTGGGCTCCCCAGTACAAGAGGGATGTGGAGCTGCTGGAGAGAGTCCAGCACAGGGCTACSAGGATGATCAGGGGCCTGGAACATCTGCCCTATGAGCAAAGGCTGAGGGAGCTGGGCCTGTTCAGCCTGGAGAAGAGAAGGTTGAGAGGGGACCTGATCAGTGTCTATAAATACCTCAAGGGAGGCAGTGAGGAGGAGGCGGGTGGCCTCTTTTCAGTGGTGGCCAGTGATAGGACTAGAGGAAATGGCTTCAAACTGAAGCATCGGAAGTTCCACAGGAACTTAAGGAAGCATTTCTTCACTGTGCGGGTGACAAAGCACTGGAACAGGCTGCCCAGAGAGGTTGTGGAGTCTCCTTCTTTGGAGATCTTTAAAACSCGCTTGGATGCAGCCCTGTGCCACGTGCTCTAGGTGACCCTGCGTGWGCAGGGGGGTTGGACTCGATGAYCTCTGAGGTSCCTTCCAACCTTCGGCATTCTATGATTCTATGATTCTATGAAGTTAAAAGCTRCTTCACAACTGATCAAGTTAATAGTGTGCATGATGTCAGTTAAGATAACTTTGCTTACAGGTAGGATATTAGGCTGCTGCAAAACAAATGCCCTACTCCGTAGTAGTAGTAGTAGAAGAGCTCTTGGTTCTGCAACCCTTGCTCAAGTTTTGGTACTGTCCATATTCAGAAAAGAGCTTCCTCTGTAAAGGGTACTGTGTCCTTATGAGACTGGATTTCCCAAAAGAAGRTCTGCTCTGTCAGGAACAACTGTGAACTTCTTATAACATATCAACAGCTGATTCTGAGATAGAGACCTCGAGAACATATTACCTGCCTAGTCTTAACTCAGTATTGCTTTGGCCCAGGAGCAAAAAGAAATGAGAAAAAAGAATACAATGAATGAAGAAAATATTTGACTTCCACAGAACTGTGTATGTTGGAAAGGGTAAATGGAAGAAATGCAAGTATTGGAAAAAAGAATTCTGGGACTTAGCAAGCTCTCTTCTACTTCCCCATGTGTATCCTTTTCTTTCTGTGATGGGAACATCTCCAATAGGTTTTGTGGACCTGTCCAAAGTCTGAAAATTGTTACCGTATATACACACAGAATCTTTTTTTAATGGTATTTTCAATCCAATTTTATTGGCTTGTTGACCTGATTTTTCAAAAAGATTTTGTTAAATTCTATTGACACTATTTTTGTTGCTCTGCTATGGGTTACTGTGTTCTAGAAGTTTGTGTTTAAGTTAATCAGAGTAAAGAGTTCAGGACAACTGACTGTATGGAAATTTGTGAGTCAGAATGGTGTTTTCCTGGGGTGTCTCAGGTCTTGTCAACTCTATGATTTTTTTTTTTAATATGTCAGTAACTGCATTTTTTCAGTGTCAAATAGAATTGCTATTAGGAATAGGAGGATTTTGTTACATTTTTTGAACCTGCCAAGTATGTTAAAAATGTAGAATTGCTTTGTCTTCAGTGTCATTTGAACATAGACTTTCATAATCTTTAAGAGGATCTCCTTGCAGAATAATAAGCACAATAATAATTATATCTATATATTTTTTTCCTGGATTATTTCTGTAACTTGAAAATATACTAGCCCTGTTTCACAGACAGGAAATGGAGCTCTCCACGGTAGGTAAAATAACCTCACTTGGAGGTCATCTAGAGGAAGACTGATCATCTCTCAAAGCAGTACCTTATTACAGGTCATATATCAAACTGTAAAAAATATATTTGTGAGTTAACAAAACAAAAAAGAAATTAAACATTAAATAATATCTCAAAAGTTCTCTTTCTCCACAGGAACTTTTTACACCGGAGTGCAAATTTAAGGAGTCTGTTTTTGAAAATTATTATGTAATCTACTCATCCATGCTCTACAGACAACAGGAATCTGGTAGGGCCTGGTTCTTGGGCCTGAACAAGGAAGGGCAGGTCATGAAAGGAAACAGAGTGAAGAAAACAAAACCAGCAGCTCATTTTCTACCCAAGCCATTGGAAGGTGAGGTTCAGCCTGTCACTGCCAGATACGCTATAAATGTTAAGGTCCTGTTATAAATATCACAAAAAGAAGAGGGAATGATTTCTCAAATACCATTTCTGAATGTGCGTGCCACACACAGGAGCCATTCCAAGTGACAGTTCCCAGGATTCATGGTGTGGCTTTGTGCTTCGGCATCGCAATGCTAGAAAGGGCATATGTAAAAACATTCTTTCAAAGGACTAATAGGTCGTTTTTTTTACAAGAAAAGAAATCTTTTGTTGAAGTGCATTGTGCTGTTTTTAAAATAATCTTCTGGTAGAGGCAAACATGTTGGGAGTCTTGCAGTAAGAAACAGTCCTTTCATTAAGTGGAGTGAAATAATGGATATTGCAAGATAATTGAAGTTATAAATGGAATGGACAAAATGCCAACATTCAAAAATAAGAGCTTTCTAGCACAAAACACAAAGGTGTGTTTATAAAATAAATCAYACTGTATTAGTCAGTTGGTGTAATGCACATATCTTCTGTAAATTGGCCTTTAAGCCAAGACAGAAGCAAATAAAAGTCATGCTAACCTTACATATTGCAATGATGTCACCCACTCGCAGTCTTAGCAATGTAACTTTTAATTTATCCTATATATTCTACAAGCCACTTTTTTTCTTTTTCTTTTTTTTTTTTCTGCTGCTTTTTGTTTCTTGTCTTAGTGGCATTTCATTCAGTTTATTGCTACACATAGCCTCAGTCATTCTGAAGATTATCTCATTAATTAACATCTTAAAACATACACCTGAGTAATGCTTTAATTAGCAATACCCTGTTTTCCTCGCCTTTTAACTTTGAAGATTTTTGATCTAAAGGATCAGTTTGTTAAATGCTTTAGACATTCACCATGAGGAAAGCATTTGAAGAGTCCTTTTGTTTATCTTCATAATTTGAACTCAGGTTGAAGCTGTTTTGCTTCCTTTGCTTTGCAAAAGTCTTAAAATTTTCAAGAGCTCTTGACAATATCTGCAGTTTATATGTCAATTGCTTTATATTAAATTTTAGCAATTTGTATGAAAGGCAGTATATTTYTAAAAGCGACATCAAATCTAATGGATTAAGAAAAAGCGCCTATTAAAATTTTTGATGGTCAGACTCTTAGACYTTGATGGTCAGACTCAGGCTTAGACATAAGTTGCTTTGTATCATCCACAAAAGTCATCAAATATTATAGCTCTGCTATGTAATTCTTTATAGATCTGTCTCAAGCAATATTTTTGTGAGTCATGGTATTATTTTATCACGCTCTTTAATCAAGCAGCGTTTCATCATGCTCTTTAATTAATCAGCAAAGAGAAGTGTCCTAAGCCCCGTTATGGGGAGTTCACTCTGAAGATATAGATCATAACCAGCTTTATGTACTTTAAAGAAAACATTTAATTTCAGATCTTAAGAAGCCATAAAAAGATTTAGAATATGTCACTGGAAATGTAAGAACAAGTTAAGTATTTGATTAGTTAATGATACTTTGGGGTGCTTCATATTTATTATTAAACTTCACACCACTGACGATCAAGGTCAGTACTTTGATGCTTCTGCCTCCTCCTCTAATTAGCCAAGGGATGAAGGGATTGTGCTCTCTGCGGAAGCACRCAGCCAGCCCCAAGATCATAGTGTGATTAATTCTTCTGATGGCTTTGACATCTCTTTCAACATTGCTCTGATATAAATAAATGCTACTGAAGCTAGGTATAAGTGGAAATATTACCTGATTCAGTGACATGGAAAATGAAATTGAATTATCCAAGAGCATTAATCATTAAGGCAGCCTAATGCTGGAACTGTGTAATTGAACACATGTATTTTCCTCAAAGGATTTAAAGTGGTTAGATAGGGCCTGAAGCCCCGGGGGGCAAACTTTTAATTCCTCCAATAATTCAGTTAGTAGGTTAAATTGGAGTTTTATACACTTCTGAATTCAGTGGAGATTAGTGGCTGCTGAGAAAGATTTTGGATAGAAAGAAGAAAAATCTCCAGCAATGTTGTGTATTCTTTGCAGGACTGTCCCACACACTTAGTCAACATAGACTGGAAGAGGTGATGGCCAAGTTCCTGAGACTTGTGAATCAGAGGTACAAATGACAGATCAGATTTGGGCCCAAGCCTGGCCATGCAGTGTCTGGCTATGAGAGAATGCTTAAGTCTAGGCAATTTTATAATGCCATTTATAAAAGTCAATCTATGTTGCCTCAGTGTATTTGACTTTCAGAATCTTTAGAAAAGAAATTAGAAAATTAATGTAGAAAAACAATCCTATTTCTGATCCCTTTTCTTAAAAATGTCTCTTCTTTTCCTTTTTTCCTCTTAGTTGCCATGTACCGAGAACCATCCTTGCATGATATTGGAGAAACAGTGCCAAAGGCTGGGGTAACTCCAAGTAAAAGCACAAGTGCATCTGCAATAATGAATGGCGGCAAACCAGTTAACAAGAGTAAGACCACATAGCCAGATCCTCACAGGTGTTGTGACTTACCGAGTCCTGAGTACAGTTGAGCCATTTATCCTTGCCAGACTTTCCCTCTGCAGTGTCTGCGGATCAGCTCGAGGCAAGGGGAAACGCTTGCCTGCTGCTGTCTTTGAACTGAGTTGTTGCAAGCGGATAAATCTCAACATGTAGCTCCTCCCACAACAAGAAGACACCTGGATAAACCAGCTAAACTCAGACCGTGGAATGCCCTACCAGATATTGGAATGCCTTTTTAATATCTTTTCTGTGACTGTGACACTTCATGTGAATGACATACTTCACAAGTACACTTGATACCTTGCCTGCTGACAACTACCCATAATCCCTTTTTGAGTCCAGTTTCAGCAAAATCCATGTGTTTAAGTTCTATTTTGTAGCACACAAATAATCAAGTAATTTCTAGTTAGATGCTGTAAACCTGTGCTATTATGGATTTCTCTTCTTCCCTTTTTTATAAGGCTGCTCGCTCCACTGTCTGTGATCTTTTGCAGGGATTGTGTTTCTCTATAACTTAAGTGTTGCCAGTGACTTAGTTTTTGAAAGCAATCAGGGAATCAGGAAGCCTTCAAAAATCTATTATTGCAAATTATATCTATAAAGAGTAGGATGTTGTCTCTGGCTTACAATATTGATTAAATGTGAGTAGTCTTAGTAACAGATACTGTGCTCCTGAGGTTGGCATTAAAGTGGAGGGAAGACTGTCAAACACAACCAATGACAGAAAGTTTTCTGAAAAGAGTGTTTGACATGCCCCTATAGTTTCTTTTTGTGTGTGTGTTTTATACATATCACAGGCTTACTGGTAATGGTAACATTTGCCTTGCCCAGCGAGCAAGACCCACTCATTTTTGGGAAAGTGGGTCAAAAGAACTCTGTAGGCCTTGTAGGCCTGAATTAAGGCTCATTTTTCATCTACTAAATCTTCATTATTTAAAAAACAACCACCACCAAAAAAAAAAAAAAAAAAAAAAAAAACGAGATAAGACTTACCAGAATTGCGCTACCTAAGTCCATTTCAAAAATAATCCTTTCCTGTTTTTAAGGAACTGAACTTAATGCCATTGTTATTTTTGGCTGAATTCCACACACACTTAGCAAAGCATGGGCAAGGATGTTGTTGTGTTCCTTTTTGCAGCACCAGTGCAAAGGGTAGTTACAAATTATAGTTTAATATTTCTAGTGTTTTAAAACAACTTTTAAAACTGGACATATTATAAAACTTTATTTTTAATTTTAGCTCAGCATGCAAAGTCCAGTCCTATGTATCTCACCAATATCCCAGTATGTATCTCTACCCAGCTTCCTCTGATACTATGCCCACCAAATTGCTAGATTAAAGGTGCCTTGCCTTGATCTCTGTATACTGTACCTTCTCTTACATGAACCTAGAAGAAATCAAAAACATTATAAATTTGAATCCTTGGATCATTTTATGAGAAACACCATCAACATTTTGAGTGTRTCATTTATGAACAGTGAAACCAATGTTAGTGGGAAAATAAGTTTTAGACAATACCACAGAGATGCCATTGAAGTTAATTAGTTTAATCATATGCTTTCAGACGACTAAGAYCTGGTTACTTTTGGTATGCTTAAAAAGGTACTTGCCATTTGGAAATGGCAACAAGGACCAAATTGTATCTCAGTCTGCAAAACTCTGTGCAAGAACACTGTCTTRGTATCCTGCTGTTACCTTGGTATTTAAAGATTAAAAAGAAAAAGGAAAAGAAAAAAAAAAAAGAAATCCTCCATTTTTTTTTTTTTTTTAAGCATTGTATTTCTGGGAGTTTGTTTTATCATGTCTTTATGCTGAAATCTCTAACAGAGCTGCTGGTCATTTCAAGCACCTAACCTGCTCAACTGAATAACTGACTGATTCAATCTAAGCAATGTCTTTATTCTTGTTTTCATGTGTTCTATTTTTATAAGCAACATTTGGTACACTGTTGAAAGAGGCTACTATAAAGCTGCTAAATTCTAAGTAATCAAACTTTTTTTTTTTTCCTTTTTTTTTTGGTATGTTAGACTTCCTTGTTTATATTTGTAATATAAACACAGCAAGCTAGCACTTGAAGTTTGATCTTTCTTGGCAGGATGAGGCAAGTGTGAAGTCCAAATCTATCTATAAAGAAAAATCGCCAAGCTGTGTTAATACTGTGATAGAAACACAAGAAGTTTTGACCATCCCCTTGCCTGCTAGCTCTAACTTGGGAGAGAGGGGAAAGCCTTTAGAGTCAGTCTCAGTGCACCATTCGCAACCTGTCTGGTCCAGGTTTCTTTTTTTTTTGTACCATCCCCGAGAAAACCAAGCAAGAGCAAAGCTAGTCATGTGGTAAAGTGAGCTTACGATGAATCTGGGGCAGTGCAGGGGACACACAGGCTCGATGTTATATCATCTACTCTGTCCCTAAGGTATCTATCCCCAGTCTTCATAGAATTATAGAAGGAGCAATTAGAATATTTTGAACAGGAGAATAAAGCTGAAGGCTACATTGTCTCATCTAAATTTCACAGAGTTCATGAAGAGGTAATACAATACATGTGTCCCACAGAGCCTTCTTTATACTTTCCCTAGTTTAAGAGCCTGAGGAAAGACAGAGCGGGAGAACTGAGACATGCAGTGAGGATATGGCTCATGGCATGATATTCTATAAGTTTTTTATTCAACATTAATCTTCCAATCCCAGCTAATTAAAATTTGTCAACCAGTTTTGGAGCTATAATTAAGGTCAGATTTAATTTTTGTAAGCCATTATTTCATAGAGGAAATTCAATTTTTTTGTCCTGTAATTGTTTATGTGGACTAAATACGTATGTGTGTTTAATGATTAGATATCCACAAAATAATTTATTGTACAATCTTTTTAAACATAGCAAAGGGGTCTTTCTGCTTTGGTTGCTTCTATTAATTTTGTCTTTTTTCTCACCTATTGCATGGGGAAGAGGATGACAAGGATGAACTGCATGTAGTAGGTTTTGTATATGAAAGAGCTGTTGGTCTGTATTACTGAATTTACGTACATATATGCAAATAGTTTGTCTGCATTGCTTTTGTTTATTATTATTTGTTGTATACACAGATGTAACCTGTTGAATAAAACATTTATATGAAGGCATACTGAAATACAACAACAACAAAAATTATGTAAGAAGTAGACTGTGCAAAAACATCATTGCACTGGCCACAGTATGGTGAAACTTCATGTAAATAGGTTGGCAAACTCATTTTTCCCCTTTTATTATGCCAAAGAAAATTTTAGCTCCTTAATACCTCTATTGTTCTTTTCCAGGATAGGACTTCACTATTTTGTTCCCTMTAAAATTAATTTCGCTGCTAACTGAAACTTTTTTTCGACTGTCTGTTACTACTAAAGTACTGTATAGCAAACCTGATGGAATCAGTTTGTATTTACAGATTGAGCATTTTGTACTTACATGTCTAGCTGTCTGTGAATCCACAGCAGCCGAAATCTTTTGCATGCTTGCTATGAATTTTGTTTTTCTCCTGGGTTTTATCTAATCTCAGAGAAATTGTTTACACAGCAATCAACCAATCTTCCCATCTCATAATGCACAGATGTGGTAACACCACACATAGTTGTTCTCTCTGCTTTTGCTTCTTTTGCTTTTTTTGCCACTCTCAAGTCAATTATTTTAATATATTGTCCTTTTCATAAAATGTAATTTGTGTAGAGTCAAGTTGCTCAATGAACACCCCCCCACACACCCTAGATATAAAGTAAAACAGTTCACTTTGACTGCAGAATTTTCGTGAAAAAACAAGTTTTAAAAATATAACTTTTTATACCTATTAAGGAAAACTTTTTCTCTGGGTTTAAAAGCCTTCTAAGAAATGAGGCATGAAAACAGGCAGCTTGGTCCATGCATTAAAAGTATGTCTTGCTGATCTGTTTGTTGGCATAAAGCAGAAATTGTTCAGCTCCAGTCAAATGAGTATGCAAGTAGAATTAGACATAGGAAGAAAGTTATCTTGCTTTAAATGCCCCTTTGGATAAACTCATATTCTGTGCAACGCATTTTAAAAAGTCTAATAACAGTATTTTTTCGTGATGACTAATGCAAATGCTATGACTTATTTTTAAAGATGTAATAAAATCTTTATTTAAAATCTCTATGATCTAGTCACAGAAATATTCAACATAGCTTTCTTCATACCAGTAACAAGTGTGTTATATCATTTAGCTATGAAGTGAGATGCTATTCTACAAAGAAGCAAGGGCAGTGCTTGAGAATAGGCAGATCAGGTACATCTAAATCTTCATCTCTGTGACTCTAAAAACAATATGCCAAGGAAAGAAAAAATCATGAGGACATTAATAATTTACAAAAGAAAATCCACAGCTGTTTGACAGACGAAATGCCAGAAGACAAAATATAAAACTGGCATAACTCTGCAAAATGTTGGAAAATATTTTGTAGAAGCATTCAGACAACTTCTGGATTGTGCTCTTCCTATCCCAAGTAGAAAGCAAGGCTATATTRTCAGTGTTTCTAAAGGTTTATCAATCTAGCCAGTACAAAATCCCCATTTACGTACTTTGCTTTCACCACTTAAACTACCTTTTGTCATTGGCTTGAGAGCAGTCACTAACTATGAAGAATCACTCAGTGTGGTTCACTTCCTTATGCCTCTTCCTGGTTTATGTTTCTTGATTTCCTATCACCAGGAATGTAGCGTAAAAACACAATTTATTAGCATTTTCACGTATGTGAAATAATAATCTTATTCCTTCTGGTCTCATTTTTATAGTGAGAAAATGAGCCACAAAACAGATCTACTGGGAGTCACATCAACAGTTACCTCAGCATGAAAAGAGGGAAAAAGGTTTGAGCAACATTGTAAGAACCGAGTAAAAATTGGAAAGGAAAATAGATATTCACTATACTTTTAGTAGTGTTAATAAATATTTTAAGATTTATAGTGATAGCACCATTTATTTGATAATTTACAATTTMATTAGCCCCTGACACTAGCTGTGTTAGAATATCCTAGCGTGATTTCCATACTTCAACAAAAAATTTAAATAACACTTTTTGAATATCTCTGAATTACTCTATGTAATCCACTCAGTAACTAAACTTTTGAAGTTGAGCATAAAAAAAAAATAGAAAAATTTGTTTAGAAACCAGAATGATTTTACATTCTTATAGTAACTAAATTTAAAAGGAAAAGAAATTGCAAATTAAAATGACTTGCAAAGAATCTTTTCTCTCTCTCTTTTTTTTTTTTTTAATTGGTCTATCAGTGTGAGTACCTGAAACCCAAATGCTGATCTACAATAGATATAAATGTTTGTCATACCAGGAAATAAGTCAAGAATTTCCACTGCACCTAAATAAGAGCATTGATTTGCATCCCCTGTTTTACAGTACTAACTGTAAATGGAAGGAATGAAGTACAACCTATGTCTTTCCCTGTTTACATTCTAACTCAGCAGAAAAATTGTATGCCCAAAATATTGGTTATTATAGGAGGATTCAGAGCAGTATTCATAAATATACCACTAATCTGTGCTCTCCAATCAGACACCAGAGTTGACAACAGGAATATATGTTAAAGTGTTTGAAAGTATTCCTGTTAAGGGTTGTAAGTACAAAATACAAAGTATAATTTCAAAATGGCTTTCTTTTAAGATTCTTTACTGTATCAATACATTTTAGAACTCTGCCTAATAATTTGGTTATTTAAAAAGAGAGCAACTAGCAGCCTTGGAATATATGTCTCATTATTTATGTGCATAACTCCTATACAAGTTATGCATAGATGTTTGGTGGTTATTATGTCTCCCTGAGAACACTGGTTTTATAAACTTCATTTTTAGAAAGAAATAATTCAGCTATGAAAAAAATCAGGGGGTAAAGAGACATGGGAATGGAG